CGCATTCGAGCCTGTTGCCAGAGCGTTGACGTCAATCGCTAATCCTCCTCCCCCTTCCTTTGTTGGGGTTGTTTTCGGGTATTTCCTGTGAGAAGTCGGAAAAACAACACTGAGCAGCTGTTTTCGCCTCAAATATTTAACATATGTCATACTAAATTTGATTCAAAAAAGACCCCGTTGACGCATAAAACACCACTACATGTATGCAGTATATTTATATGAACCTATGCTTTCATGGCGTCTACAAACAAGATAAATACAATTATAGTTTTAATTTCTTTTTAGTGTCTCATCCAATGCCTGACACAGAAAGTGTGTTTTGTCAGCATTCGTATCTATGTAGGTTAAATCTGCTATGAGGCTGAGCAACAGGCTGTTCAAACACAGACTGAAAAGGCCCCATCCCCCCACAGTCACGCCTATCTAGGAGATAAAACATCTTGCTCACACTGAAACTCTGTTTTACGATTCTTCTTGGTAATTAAGACTGTTACGGCTGTTACTTGTCATCATTTGTTAAATGTTTATAATGAGTTACTTCACAAATTTGTCATATGATTATTTATCAGATGATTATTACTATGTTTTCTATGTTTTCTCAGTTTGAAAACTGAGAGGCAAAGACCCAACTCAAGACTCAGACAACAATGTGAAAGAGTTTTATTCATGACATAAGTTCAATTGTTTTAGGCATTTTTCATAGATCTTATTTTTTTGTTTATTCACAAATCTTTTCTAGCAAACCACAGAGACTTTCACTAAACAACTGTAGTTATACATGGATTAAATCATTGATCAATTGTGCTCGTTGTAACATGACAGTTTGTAATTTTTGAATGATGAAAACTAGATATAAAGTCTGTCTGGTATATTTTGTTTGCTCATTTTGATTTTACAAATCACTGAATAACATTTTAAAGTTTATTTTTAAACTTCCAACTCTTGTTTGTCTCCTAGTACGTTGGAGGACTTTGGCCAATGACATTACAGCTAACCTTAAAAATGTTCCAGTAGGTTTTTATGGGACATTTAAGTCTACAGTATATGAGACAACCAGCATAAAAGGTTATCTAATCTCCAAGTCCACGATCAAGTTAACCTTTCTTATTTGAAGAATTTGGACTTTAAAGGGGTTATGCAACACTGTGTCAAGCAGCCAGTCCCAGCTGATGAATTGTGGGAGGGAACGCCTTTGAGCAAAGCCTTTGAAGGGGTTTGTGCCCATCAGGAGTCAGCTATCTATGGAAAGTAGGCCACTGATAGGTTTGTACAGGCCACACATACAACATATCTGGTTCCAAATGTTGGCATGTGTTTACATACCATACGGTACTGAAAACTGGAATGGAATAAAGACTGCTTGATTTTTTGTTTCCCAGATGTAACTGGAAGGATTGGGTTTTGGTCTATTGCTATGGATCATTTACAGGAGTACTCAATCTAAATGGTCACTGAATTTAAATATTTTCAGATATCTGAGACACATAAAGAAACGGGGAAAAAAAGAACTGAAGCAGTTTCACATGGCCTTCTGTTGAAATACAATCAAGTAAATACTTCCCTTTTCCACTAAAGGTTCAAATTTTCTCCTCCCATCAGGCTTTGACAGTGAATTTATAAATTCCTCAATTATTTTTCAGACATTTTCTTAAAATATAATTTCATAAAATTTTTTCACACTTCACTCAGGGTTTGAAAACCTAGTTTTCAAATCCTGACAATTTGAATAATTCTGGATTTCTTACTAGTTTGAAAATGTTTAAAATATTAAGATTTTACTCATTAGACAATGCAATTGGTTTTACAATAATAATAATAAAAACACGGTCATCAATTGTTTTGATTGCCATAGAAACCATAAACTTCACTGGTGATTTTATCTCAGTGAATTTTGAGTGTCACACTGACTAAGCACATTGATTTGTCAAACAATGTAAAACTAAGAAAAGTTTTATTTCTTTTATTGTGATTAGGTTTTCTTCTTTCCTCTTTGTGCTAAAACCCTCCATATAAAATATAGTTTGTGAAACATGCTATATTTTAATACTGCCTTAATTATCCCCAAAGCAGTGTTTTAAAAATAAGCTATCCCTTTGTTCTTCTCCATAAAGTCTAATGCTTATACATTATTATACCAATAATTTCATAAGACCACGCAAAATTGATGCACAAAAAGAAAAAGATAAAATTGTAGCATTCATTAATTACCCTTAAAGGGTAGAACTAGTTGCACAACCAAACCCCAAGTTGAATTATATGTTCTGAATATGTTCACTGTAAGTAAGGTGAGAGTCCCAGATATTAGTAAGTTGTTGCTATGGCAAATTATTGGCTAGAAAAGGTAATGGGACTGGATCTAGGTGAGTAAAACACGTTTTCTCAGCATTAATTATTGAATGATTTGCCTTCATGGTGAAGTCTGTCTTTATTTTGTTGTCAGTATTTAACCCATACAGAAAAAGGACAGTATAAATCCTCCCCGATAGAACAACCCAATGCCTGTCATGTGATCCTCCAGTTTTAATAGGTCTATGACCAAATTTAACAAAAAATATTAACTGTAACAAATTAAATATATATTAAAAAATATTGTTCTTTATACAAAGACTGTGACATTAAAATGACAGAATCTGGTGTAAAATCGCTCCCGTTTCAAATCTCAATACCATTATTGTTAGCAAAGATGGCGGCTGCCAAACAGTTTCCAGTTATCCCCAAGGTCCAATGCTGAGACCCAAATTATTTTTTTTTATATCTATCTATATAGACATATATATATATGTCTATATGTATAGATAGATAGATAGATAGATAGATAGATAGATAGATAGATAGATAGATAGATAGATAGATAGATAGATAGATAGATAGATAGATAGATAGATAGATAGATAGATAGATAGATAGATAGATAGATAGATAGATAGATATAATGAACTAGTATATATATATATATATATATATATATATATATATATATATATATATATATATATATATATACTAGACCCTTCAAGCTACTGCCTACCTCATACCATGAGAGATACTAAGTTGCGTAACATGCCAGACGTCGCCCGGCCAAACAAGGTCTGCGTCAGGTGTTGGGGAACCAGAGCACCTTGATGACAAATGGGCTACTGGAACAAGACGGAAATGGGCGAGAGATGAAAATGTGGATCTGTTGGAATGCTACTACTCAAGTAACCCTAGTCAGAGGGGTTACATGCAAAGACTGGGGAAGGAATGGTTACTTCGACATCCCCAGTCAACACTAAGCGCTAAACAACTAGTAGCTCAGTGTGCCGCAAACGGCAACTGCTATCACAACTTGAGATTGACGAGATACAACACAAATGCTACGGCAAAAGGGAGGAACCCGGATGTCAGAACTGTGGGAACTTTCAACCATTCAGAATTAACCCTGAATGGTTAACTGAAGTCCCACCCAACTACCGACCAATAACCTGCCTCTCCACAACCTGGAAGCTCATGTCAGGCATCATAGCGGCCAAGATAAGCAAACACATGGATAAACACATGAGCATGGCACAGAAAGGGATCGGTGTAAATAGCAGAGGAGCCACCCTTGAAGCCAACTGCAAACCATCAAATGTGGCATATACCAAGGAGATGCTCTGTCCCCGCTACTGTTCTGCATAGGCCTGAACCCCCTCAGTCAAATTATCAGACTGGCCGACTCAAAAATGGGGCCAACATCAGTCACCTTCTCTACATCAAGCTGTACATCGGGATGTCATTCGGACTAGAGAAGTGTGGTCAGCTGATCACAAAGAGGGGGAAGGTGATCCGCACAGAAGGAGTCTCACTCCCACAAGGAACAATAGCAGACATAGAGGACAGTTACAAGTACCTACAAGCAAATGGCAACCTCGATGAGGCCACAAGGAAAGGAGCCACAGCTAAATACCTCCAACGAATAAGGCAAGTCCTGAGAAGCCAGCTCAATGGCAAGAACAAAATCCGTGCAATAAACAGCTATGCCCTGCCAGTAATCAGATACCCTGCTGGGAGCGGGGAACAGAGGTTGAGGTGCCAGAGATACTACATGGGATGTACCACCAGCAAATAACCCAAGTGGCTGATATCAGTAAATCCTACCAATGGCTGGAAAAAGCTGGACTCAAGGACAGCACAGAGGCCCTCATCCTGGCCGCCCAGAAACAGGCCCTAAACACCAGAGCAATAGAGGACCAGATCTACCACACCAGACAAGACCCAAGGTGTAGGTTGTGCAAGGAGTCCCCTGAGACAGTCCAGCACATCACAGCAGGGTGCAAGATACTGGCAGGGAAAGCGTACATGGAACGACATAACCAAGTGGCAGGCATAGTGTACAGAAACATCTGTGCAGAATATGGACTGGAAACCCCGAGATCAAAGTAGGAAACACCCCCAAAAGTGGTGAAGAACGCCAGAGCTAAGATCCTGTGGGACTTCCAGATCCAGACAGACAAAATGGTAATGGCGAACCAACCAGACATTGTCGTAGCCGTTGTGGTAGATGTAGCAATACCAAGTGATTGCAACATCAGGAAAAAGGAGCATGAGAAACTGGATAAATACCAGGACCTCAGGGAAGAACTGGAGAGGGCCTGGAAGGTGAAGACCACAGTGGTGCCTGTGGTCATCGGGGCCCTCGGGCAGTAACCCCCAAACTGGAGCAGTGGCTACAACAGATCCCAGGAACAACATCAGACATCTCAGTCCAGAAATGTGCAGTCCTTGGCACAGCCAAGATAATGCGCAGGACCCTCAAGCTCCCAGGCCTCTGGTAGAGGACCCGAGCTCAGAGGATAAGAACCACCCGCGGTGGGTGAGAAGGGATTTATATATATATATATATATATATATATATATATATATATATATATATATATATATATATATATATATAAATTCACTAATATTATTATTAATATAATAATATTGGTATATTAATACTAATATAGTTATTTATTATCTTTGTTATTTTACTCAAATTCCAACTTTCCTCCATTATGAAATTTGCACAAAATCTTTGTGGACTGATGGAAGAATCCTGAGAAAGAACCTGAAACAAATAAAAGAGATGATTGTTGATTTCTGGAGGATCAGGATTAAATCAAACCTGTTTACATCATGGGAGAAGAAATGAACGTGGTTGAGGGATATAAACACCTCAGTGTTCATCTGGACCACAGACTGGACTGGAGCAGCATCAGAGCCAGAGACCTAAAAACACTCAACACCTTGTTAAAGAAGACTGGTTCTGTTCTGGGAAACCTCTGGAGATGATCATGCAGAGGAAGATTCTTCATAGGATCAAGAAAATTAGGGACAATCCTGTCCATCATCTTCATCCGATTGTCTTGTCTTCAATGGCTTTTTGAAGAATCTTGATGAAAATTAAATTTTCTGTGGGATCCAGGAAGTATTTTTTAACCGAAACTAGAAATTGAATTACTACAGGTAAAAACGTTTAAATTGAATTTACAATTAATTTACAGCTTCCAATACTTGGCCGAATGTTGTCAACACTAAAGTCACTCCACAAACAGAAATGAGAAAAAACACAAACATGTAAAAATCAAAAAAGCAAATAATTACGAGAAGAACGCAAAGTAAAAATAAAATGAACAACAGTGACTGCAATCTATATATATTCTTATGGATATATTCCGATAAATATGTACCGTTTTGGTGAATAAGTTCATTTTCTTTCTCTCTAACAATAGTTCCTCCTCCCTCTATAGCAGTTTCTGTCATGTTTTCTACAACCTCCATTAAAGATTCTTGCTGCCGTAAAAAACTAGCCTGGAGAGGGAGAGCTGGGAAAGATGGGGCACTTGATTTTTGCTTTTCATATATGTAGACAAAGCCCCTTTCATTAATGTCGTCCATCCATTGGCCACTTGCTGTAATAACCTGGTTGTCATCGGCCTTGAATACGTGTTGTCCGCGGATCAGGTAGGTGTAGAAGTTTATCAGCTCAGGATCACGGCAGATTATGGATGAAAGATGGTACTGATGAATTCCGTTTTGTCCTGGCACGTCAATTGTTGGATTTGCAATCACTGTTGCACTCCAACACCTGGCCGACCGATGCAGGAACAGGACTATGACTTCATTTTTACTCAGAAAATGTTTCCTCTTGAAAACTGACTTGCAGTTTGAACAATGAATTTCCTTACTCTTATCCAGCCAACACCCTAAGAGAGAGGCCACGTTGTTAAAATGCATTGCAGGCAGAAACACAAGGGGGCTGCTGTTCAAAAGGCCGATGAAATCTGTCTTACATTTTCTGCAGGTCTTCTCACTGTTTGTAAGCATGTCCATGTCTCTGACACTTAAATTTAACCAATCCAAAACAGCTTCCAGTAAATATGAGGTTTGGTAGTCATTCCCCAAGTCTGTCGACAGTTCACTTTCTCTAAGTTCCACCTGAACTTGGGACATTTGCAGTGGGGAAAAATGTTTTCCCGGATTGTACACTGCTGTATAAATGAGGTTGGCGCACAATGGTGTGGCTGATGATAATTCAAAAAACTTCTGGGCATTCTGAGAAAGGCACTTTCTGGTCAAATTTAAATTCAGTATGCCTTGTAAACTGGCATTAATCCAACCATTTTTGGAACTGTTAGAAAATGTGCAAAAATGGTAAATGTCACTCACTTCGTTTTTGCTGTCTTGGTCCATGACATCTGTGGTTTTGTTGAGCTCTTTCTGAAGCACAGAACAAACGTCCCCAGCTGGGGACGTTTGTTCTTGTGGGAGAACGGGGGGATCATTCTCGCAGAAAACCTTCAAATCTAAACTGGCCATTTCAAAGCAAACCTCCCCAGCCGGGGAGGTTTGCTTGTCACCTGGGGACAAATCAAAAGCGTAACAATCAAAAACGTCTTGGTCAAAAACATGATTGTCAACTGGGGAAGGATCAAAGAGATATGAATCAAAATCATCATATTCTGAGACACAAACCTCCCCAGCCGGGGAGGTTTGCGTCTCAACTGGGGATGGGTTGAAGAGGAATGCGTCAAACGCATCATATTCCATGGAAGTGCTTTCTTCCTTAGCACTGTTTGATTCAAAATCTTTTCCAGGGAGCAGATTATCAAAAACCTTTTTCATCCCGGTTGAAACTGCATAACCAAGGCCAAAGCCGAGGGGAAAAAACATTCCAACAAACAAATCTGCCATCCTTAAAATCCTGGTGAAAAACAATGGTGAAGTCCGAAGAGCTGCTTGGATATGAAGTGATGTCTTGAAACACATGAATTCATAACCTCAGATGTTCTTTGATCTAGAACAGCATGTCATAGATGAGGTCATAACTACAATGAGGCCACTGGGGATTCTTGTTTCTGCTTGTTGCTATGGAAACGATCAGATCAGTTCTGCATGACCCAAATTATTGACCCTTTGCAACATCGTCATTTAATCATTCGAGGCGTCATGACGTGAAGTGAGGAACCGGAGTATAGAACTGAGCGACTGAAGTTGTTTTTGAAAGTTGTTTGGAGTCGGCATGTTTTTTTTATTAAAAAGAAATATATCAATAAACTTTTTAATAGTTTATTGATAATACATGTTATTATGAATAATTTATTTATTTATACAAAATCACTTTTGGCAAAACAAGAAACCATTATTTTAGGAAGATACGTGAACGTTGACGATTCCCAAAGCGACCCGCATGCGCAGAAGACAAACCTTAATGACGTCACACGGAGGCGCACTGTTTACTGAAGTAATAATGGATGCTGCCATGTTTGGATCGTTGTTGAGCAATAGTAGCCGACAGTATCGTCTCGAAAACCATAACAAGACGAAGGAAGCTAACAAAAAGGAAGCTAAGCGAATAGAAATGGCGTTTTGAGGAGCATTGACTGCAACTTCAGTAGAGAAGTCAGTTTTTATGCGTAATTGGAAACAGGACGGGTTTGTCAGTGACTTCATTCATAATTTATTTATTTATGTCTATAAACATACATCTATTCTTTGACAGAGCAACTCTGATTTCCATCAGGCAGACACAGTTTTGTTTCTTTTCTAAAATATGTTACATATATGATTAAGCCCTGATTTTATCTTAAAACTGTTTTGGTTTTACTTATAAACTCATTGTACAAGAAATTACATCCTTTCCTACTAGTCTGAACCGGAAGTGATCAGAGCTGGTAGGGAATCGGAGCACAATGGATAGATAAACCATATGGCTTCCAGACCAACAAAAAGAAAAGATATTTACACCATTGACCAACGTGCAAGAGTATGAGATATAGAAGTTGGCTCATTTATTGTTGTCATAGCAACTCCATAGCAGTTGTCATGACAGAGCTGGATACCTACCAAGATGGCCGTCAGCTACAAAGTTACCGGAAGTGTGACATCACATGAGATCTGTTTTTTAAATTGAAGATACTCAACATTGTTGTTACAAATAAGGTGGAGTTGGAAGTTGCAGTCGAAGGAAAACTTTGGTTTAGTTGAGGATTATTTCAACAATTCAATGATTAATTGTTTCAGGTCTAGAATTTTTCATAAAAAGCAGGTGCTGACTAGTAAAATGATTTGACTTTGGACATAATAGCAGTTTTTAAAGCAATTTTCCCTCCTGTGACAGAGCTAATGGTTTTGCTCATCAGATATGATGATTTAATTAAGTTTTCCTGCAGTACCGTATTTGAGCTGTAGGAGTCACCCCATCATTTGGTTTAGTGACATCTTCTATATTGCTTTGCACTTGACCAGCAGCCAAATCCACTTAACCAGAGACTAAATGAAATGGTGTGTGTGTGTGTGTAGGTGGGTGTGTTTGCAAAGTTAATTCAGTTCATCAGCTTTCTCGTCCCCTTTCAACACTTTTTTAATGTGTGTCTCTCTCTCGGTGTGTGTGTATGCTTGTGTTTTGTGTTAGAATTGAGATATCTCCTGCTATCACTCGACAGGTGTGTGTATTTTTACATATCCACCTTTCATATAAAAAATGTTTTGTCTGAAATGTGTGCGTGTGTGTGTGAGAGGTTCTGAATGTGTTTATTTATTGAATAATTCACAGCTGGATTTTTTATAGAAGAACCCGTGGCCTCAGAGCTGCAACAACACAGGGCAAATATTGTGACTTACACACACATGAACACACACTTTATCAGCCATTTCAGGGTTGACGGTTTATTTGGACACTGTGGACGGTGGAAATGGAATGTAAAGAGATCAGACACGTGAACACACACATTTATATTTCCCATGGAGATTTCTCACTATCTTCACTTGCTCCATATCTTTGGTCTGTGTTTTTTTTTTTTTTGCATCCCAGTGAGTAAAATTGATGTGTGTAGGAAAGGCTTCCTGGGTAACCTTGAACTATTTTAGATTTGAGCTGCTTGACTTGAGCATTCTGGTAGTTTACACAATGTCTGGCTCAGATTGTCAGTAATATTTTTGATGATAGATGAGGTTGAGTGTTCCGTCTGTGCTGTACAGATAATTTATTATAAAGCAGTTGTTTATTTTTAAGTAGTTATTGTTTCAGGTCTCGATCCATTGTGGCGAAACCAGAAACTGTTACAAGTTATTTAAAGCTCACCAAAGAATGAGTTACCATATTTTCCAGACTATAAGGCCTTTAAATTTGATCAAAAAACAACAGTGCGGCTTACATGTGGTTCTGGAGGAAAACAGGTGGTGCTGTCCTGGAACACCTGAACCAGGACCACCTGTCCTGGTCCAGGTACAGGTTTTGTGTGGTACTCGGCTTTCACGGTGCTCAGTCAAAATGTTTTAGTTATGTCACATTACAACTATCGTAGTTGATCACATGTCTATTGCGATATATATTGTTACTGATTTATTGTCCAGGCGTGTTGCCACTGCTTTATTCAGCCATTGTTTACGTTCTGATTTATCGTGTCTGTCTTCTTCTGGTGTAGAATTATGACACATATTTTATGTCAATCAATACAATAAAATGGGACATTACCGTTCAGACTGCAAACAATTTGAGAACTATTGGATATTTATCCAGTTAGGTGTGAAGTATGGAAGCAGCAGAAATCAGATTTGTTTCTTGTTTGTGTCTTGTTTCTTGGTTGAAAAGATTGGAATGGGCCGTTCAGATTGCCTGAAGATAGTTGGACTGCCTGCTGTGTAAATGTGGCCCAAATTGTCCTCAAAAATTAAAATGTGTGTGTCGCCCGTCACAATAACACATTTTGCTGGACAATAAATTGTCACAGAAATTTTTGCAATAAATAATATTATCATTTTGAGACCATTTTGAACTACTATAATAATATTGATGCAACTACATCCTCTCAAAAAATATATAAAAAAGAACAGTAGAACTGAAAAACATTTTAAATACCCACAATAAAAACGATTATTAAGATGGATCAAAATTACATTTAAAAAGTTAATAATCACTGAGTTTAGATGTGGAAAACAGGCAAAAGAATAAACATCAATACTAGGTATCAAATGTTTGCATCATTTCTGAAAACCCCAGCTTTTTAACAATGTTAACTTCTCTTTAACAACTATTGTCCAAATAAAAATTATAACGATCATTTTAATTTGTTAATTGATTTATTGCTGAAGGGATTGTTATTGCAATATTGTGGTACAGAAAATGCAAACGACAAAGAAGAACCGCTGATCTGCAATACATGTAAGTTTATTACGTAAGCTTACCTGCAATTAGTTTGGTGACTTTAATGCAACATACAAATAGTTAGAAGGTGAAGAAGTGTGTATTTATATCAAGCTTTATGTTAAGGAGCCGTTGAATTATCAGATATTGCATGTTGATCAGTGTAATGCCATAACATTTCTAAACTGAATTCAGTAATGTTTAGTTCAGATTTATTCCTGCTGACAGCGGCTTATTGTTCAGTCTGATGTGACCTAGAGAAATGGAAACAGACCTTTAAATGGAAATAATGATTCTTTTCATTTGAATATTCATCTGGTTCCCTCTGTCCAAACGACCTTTCAAGTCATGTTCTTTCCCATCTGGCAGGTATCCAGTTATTACTACATTATGTACTTCATTGCATCTACTACAACTGCTCTGATGTTATGTATTTGAAGACAAATGAAGGTTGTCTTTCTGTTGGCTTTTACCATCATGATGAGCCTAATAAGTGAAAACTGCAGTAAGGTAATGACAAATTGTTGAACTGCTGAATCATGTGGTGTTAAACATAAAAAAAAAAAAAAATTTGATTCTTTTTTTAGGATTTTGTTACTTAGTTACTTTTATTAAAAGTAAGATATCTATATCTGATATCTTCAATTAACATTGTGACTGGTCCAAATGACATTTCTAAGATCTTGAATTGGTATTTTTTCATGTCAAAATGTCACAGATGTATGTAAAATTTCAATTAACATAAATGTTAAAAGTATTTTTAAAAATGACCTTTTCTACGCAGTTTTTAGTGCAATGTATGTTTCAGGCGATAATTAATTGTAAACTAATTCAATATTTCTAAAGAAGACATCAAGTTCAGAGATTGAACGTAAATGCAGATACTTTACCATTCAGTATTCAGTTTTTTTAGCGACTAATTAGTTTCAGTGTAGCACTGACCCAAACAGCTTCCTGACAACAACATCAGCACACTATGGTTGAAACGATTAATCGGATGAATCGCAATTAATCAACTAATTTAGTAAAGAGTTAATCAACTCATAAAATGCCATTTACTGAAATAACTGCA